CCCTAGTATCCAGTGACAATGTAACCTTTTTTTGTTCAATTGAATGCAGGAATAATTGGCATTTTTGCCAGCTTTCAGTAATCTTGTTATTATAGGATAAGTTAGTCAATAAACATTTATTAAGTATCTGCTATGTTCCAGGCACTGTGCTAGGTGCTAGGGATACAAAAAGAGGCAAAACTCAATTTCTGCCCTCAAGGAGCTCACAAATCTGGGGGGTTTGATTATAGATTTAGAGCTGGAAAGGACCTCAGTGGTCACCTAATCAAATCCCTTCATTTTAAAAATAAGGAAACTGAGGTCCCACAAGGGTAGTGTCAGAGGTAGGATTGGAACCCAGGTCCTCTGACTGTACAGCCAGTTCTCTTTCAACCATCCCTTGCTATTACTTACTTTTTAAAAATTGTATTTATTTTATTTTTAATTTATGAAATAAAACAAGCATTCCCATAACAGAATAAAAAAAGATGATTGTACATGAAACTACAAATCTACTATGCACAACTTACTATTCCTTTTAAATATATAATAAAGTTATCATGTAAATTTTTTCTCTTTTTTTCTTCCCTCTCTGTCCCTCCACCCTAGAGATGGCTGCTATTAGACATAAATGTGTGTGTGTGTGTGTGTATATTATATATATATAAACTCTTTCTTATGCATACTTCTATTTATCAGTTCTTTCTCTGGATGCAGATACTTCCTTCATAGCCCTTTGTAGTTAATTTGGGTGTTTACAATAGTCAAAATGACTTAGTTGTTCAAAGTTGCTCTTAAAACAATATTGCTGTTACTGTATACATTTTCTTGGTTCCGCTCATTTCTCTTGTCATTATTTCATGCAAGTCTATCCATGTTTTTCTAAGATCATCAGGCTCATCATTTCTTATGGCACAGTAGCTTTCCATCACAATCATATATCACAACTTGTTCAGCCCTTCCCCAATTGACTTTTACTAGAAGAAACTGTATTTGTCTCACCTAAAGATTGTCCCCTTAAACACTCACCAAGATTAAAACATTTTAGAGGTGGAAGAGATCAGAGAAACCAAAGGACAATAGATTGAGAGCTCAAAGGGTCCAGCTTCTTCATTTTATAGAAGGGGAATCTAAAGCCCAGAAACGTGACTTGATTTTGCTCAAGATCACATAGCTCCTTTGTGACAAAACCGTGATTAAAACCCAAGTCTTCTGACTTCTGAGGAAGTATACTTTCCCCTATACCCTGCTGCCTAGACAATGAACAGCAGCTGGGGAGAGGGAAAAAATGAAGGTCTTTGTAGGGCAAAGTTCTTGAATGAATTGTACAATACCTAATACTGGCATTTCAGCTGACTCAGATAGCTTCTTCCTGTTACTATATTCCTAACTATAGGAGATTTGTTCCTTTTTCACATCTAGCCTAGGGGAAACAAAATTGCTACCAAAAATAGGATGAAAGGTTTTCTTGACATTTTTAGATTGTTAGCTCCTAGAAATCCATTAACCCCAGGGCAAATGGCACAAAATCATAAATTCTGGTGGAGAGGGTAAGAAACCATATAAAACTGGGGATGGGGGGCCTGGAAGGCCTGAGACACAAAATTCCAAAGTCCTATTGAAGTTTATGAAAGGCTGTGGGTAAAGTAACAAACAGGGTAGCTAGGTGGCACAGTGGATGGAGTGCTGGGCCTGGAGTCGGGAAGACTCCTTTTCCTGAATTCAAATCCAGTCTCAGATACTTTCGGGCTGTGACCTTGGGTTAGTCATTTAACCTCAGTTTCTCCATCTGTAAAATGAGCTGGAGAAGGAAATGGCAAACCACTCCAGTATCTTTGCCAAGAAAATCCCAAATGGGGTCACAAAGAGTATGACAAGACTGAAAAACAATTCAACAAAAAGTTGAGACAGAACAAGGTCATCCCATCTGTGGCTGATTTCTCAAAGCACCCTCAAGAATTTCTCCCACAAGATTTAGTGAAATCGGGGCAGCTAGGTAGCACAGTGGATAGAGCTCCAACCTTGGAGTTCAAATCTGGCCTCAGACACTTGACACTTACTAGCTGTGTGACTCTGGGCAAGTCACTTAACACCAATTGCCTAATCAAAAAAAAATGTAGTGAAATCTAACATTTTATCATAGGAGTTGAATCCTACAAGGAGTGTCATGCTTCAAAAAAAAAAAAAAGGAACAGGAAATCAGGAATACTAAATTCCAATTCCAGCCTTGTTTCTTACACTTTGCTCCCTTCCTCACACTCTACAGAACAATGACACTGGCCTTCTTGTGGTGTCTGCTACAAGACATTGCATTTTCCCTGGTTGTCCCTCACGCCCAGAATGCTCTCCCTCTTCCTCCTGGCTTCCCTGGCTTCCTTCGAGTTGCAGCTAAAATCCCACCTTCCATAGGAAGCTTTCTCCAATCCTTTCCGGTGCTGGTGCCTTCCCTCTGAGATTGCCTCCAGTTTATTCAGTACGTCTATTGATTGTACAAAGTTGTTTGCATATTGTCTCCCTCATTAGAATGTGAGTATCCTGAGGGAAGGGAGTGTTTTTTGCCGTTCCTTGCAATCTAAACACTTAGCACAGCACTTACCAAATTCTTATTAAATCACTTGCTGAGTTGTTTGGACAAATCCACAAACCATTTACCTAAAATGTCCAAAGGCCCCCAACCTATGTTCTCTCCTCCATTCAGGCCCAATGCTTGGATAGAAGGCAGAATGCTAGTGTCATTGTAATAGTTATGGAATCATAAGATTTAGAACCAGACAAGATCTTGGAGAAGCCCTAGGCCAACCTTGCAAGTTCTCCTCAGAAGGGACTAAAGGGGAAAAATTAGAGTTGGTTTTTGTCCAACTATGTCTAATCTTAAGGGACTGCTGCTGAGGGCCAGAATGTGCTGCACCAGCTAGCTATCTGCTTTGTACCTAGATACCATGGTTTGGACCAGGGTGCAGCCCAGAAGGAGCCTACTACCTCTAATGAGCAGACGTAGGTTCCCTGTTCTCACACACTTCACCTTGTTAAATCCCCTAGACTAGCATGCCAGGGACAATTTTACTCATGGTTCACAACTAGGACCTCCTCACAAAAAGGGAGGAATAAAAAAAATGTACTTACGGGCAGCTAGGTGGCACGGTGGCTAGAGCACTGGTCCTGGAGTCAGGAGGACCTGAGTTCACATCTGGCCTCAGACACTTGACACACTCAGACACACTAGCTGTGTGACCCTGGGCAAGTCACTTAACCCATTGCCTAGCCAAAAAAAAAGTACTTAGAATATAATATGAATCATGTGTAAGAGAAGCAATTTATTCCTACGGGCATAAGAAATGCTAAATATGAAAGACTCATAAATGTATGTTAACAGAACAGGATTCAATAAAAATGTGTAGCTAATGTTACAATCTGCTGAAAGACATCAAAATATAAAGCAGTTTGCAGAACTGATAATTATTCATTTTAAAAACCACCTTGTCTTGGCACTATCCAAACAACTCCTGGTACATGCCTGTTGATAAAATGACCAGACTTGGGCCAGTCCTCTTGTTGGTGGCTACTCTCTCTGATACTAAAGTTTCTCCTGTCAATAGGCTACTTTCACAGCTGCTATGGCCAGCCAAATGGACCCAGGAGCTCTGGAACACTTAGATGTACAATGGCTTCTAATCAGGGATATAACCACCCCAGAATACTTGTTCACCTAAAATAATGAGGTGGGGGAGGAGGCAAGCTCTGGCTTGGGGCAGGACTTGTGTTTTAGATAACATGTTTATTGCCACATGGAGGCTGGAGTAGGTAAATGAGACCAGCTATGTCTCTACACCCAATTCTGGAGAGGCATCAGGAAACAGTCTGACATAAATCGTAGCCAGAAAGGAAGAGAGAGAGTGGTAAGGGATTGGGCTTCTCCCTTTTGTATACCCACTTAGTCATCAGCCCCATTGGCTCTGCAGCCAATAGGAGAAAATCTTCATCATCTCACAGTGATGAATCATACATGGCCAGAAGCAGGACCCCCAGAAACCTGGATGCTGAAAAGCAGGAATGGTGACTTTGAGTGTGCTGGGGGAGGGGTTATTCCATAGGGACATTTCCTTTTGGAGGACTTTGCTTTGAGTGAGTAAATGTTGATGAAGTATAGCAGAGCAGGCACAATTATAGGCTTGGAATGAGAAGAGATATGGGGTCAGGATTCTGGCTTTGCCTTACTAGCTGTGTAGTTATGGGTGAATCACTTGACCTCTGTGAACATCAGTTTCTTCATCTCACAGATGATGATGTGGGTTTTATTTAGGCATCTGCCAGATTAGATGGACACAGAGGTCCTTTGTAACTCTGACATTCTATGATGCTGTGATAATAACACTTGTATTACTATGGCTGTTGTGAGGACATCCCAATATTGACATTATATAGCATGAACTTGAGACTGATGACTCTAACCCTCTGCCCAATTCCTATGTCCATATTATTGATGTGAGCACAACTAAGTGATTTAGGATGAGGAGAAAGAAGGGCAATGTCCTCTATTGTCATTTAATTCAACCAGCCACCATTACAAATTATTTTTATTGATTTGATAGGATTGTAGATTTTGAACTGGAAGGGAACTCAAAGGCCATTGTGATAGAGTCTCATTTTAGAAATAAGGAAACTGAAGCACTGAGAAGTTCGATGACTTGTCTATAGTCATCCAGCTAAGTGTCTGAGGTGGGATTTGAAACTAGGTCTCCCTAACATTAGGTCCAATGATCTATCCACTATACATTGAACCCCCAGGTATCCCAGATCTGAGGTAAATTGCGTATCCTGCACATGACTGGAAGGAGGTGGGCAAGGCAGGGAGGACAGGACAATCGCTACTTTTCTGGCTCCTCAAAATAACTCCAACCTTGATTTTTGGTATCCAAGTCTTTTCCTCATCCTCACTTCATACCTCCTTGGCAGCTCCTGAAACAAAGAAAACCTCATCTTCCTGTTTTCTCACTCCTGTTTATTGCACTATTGCATTGCAGGGGATGACACCTCTTCACTGGGCTGCTTTTCATAACCGGCCACAACATGCACAAATCTTGCTGGAGAGGGGGGCAGATCTAACCCTGGTGGACAAAGACTTCAGAACAGCCCTCCACTGGGCTGCCCAGGTAAGAAAAAAAAAAGCCTAAAATGAAACAGTGCCTTCCCCCAGGGAGCCTCTATCCTTCAAGGAAAGACAACATGGATCATATGGATACGTTTAAGTCTATACAAAATAAGCATAAGCAAAATACATACAAAATAAATACAATGTAATTTAGAGGTGGGGAATGTCAGGAATGTAGAAAGAAGCTAGGTGGTACAGTGAATAGTGCTCTGGGCTTGGAGTCAAGAAGACTCATCTTCCTGACTTCAAATACAGCCTCAGACACTAGCTGTGTGACCCTGGGCAAGTCACTTAACCCTGTTTGTCACAGTTTCCTCGGCTACAAAATGGGCTGGAGAAGGAAATGATACACCACTCCAGTACTTTGCCAGGAAAACCCCAAATTTGGTCATAAAGAGTCAGACACCACTGAGCAACAAGAGGTATGCAGAACAAATAGATAAATAGAACCTTTATTAAGCACTTAGTAGGTACCAGGCACTGTGCTAAGCTTTGAGGATATAAATACAAACAGAGTTACCTGCTACTGGGGAAAGACAACACATAAAGGAAAACTGGAAAGGATTGGGGGTTGGTAGGACATGGAGAGGCAGAGAGAGGAATGAAGCAGTCTGGGAAGTGGTGTGTAGGCCTGGGCCAGGCAAGATCAGAAAAAAAGAGACTTGTACAGAGTCCAGATTACCAGTGCAGAGGAGGAGGAGGTAAGCTCTGAGTAGAGAAGCAGAGACATACAACAGGCCAGGGAGCGAAAACAGTTTGGGGGAGGGAGGGAATGACATGGTGGGGGGTGGAGTGTCAAGAAGAGATTTCTATGAAATCAACTTGGAAGTTGATTGTGATTGTGAAAGTCTTTAAATGCCAAACAGAGGAAAGAGAGCCACTTAAGCTTCTTAAGCAAGGGAGCTGCATAATCAGACCTGTGCTTAAGGAAAATCAATTTGGCAGTTATGCAGAGGATGGATTAGAGAGGAAAGAGACTGGGGCAGAGGGGTCGATCAGAAAGCTTATTGCAATAGTCCAGGTAAGAGGTGATGAGGGACTGAAATGCATATAGAGTGAAGGAAAGGGGATGTAAGTGAGAGATATGGACAAAACTTGGAGACTAATTAGATGTGAAGGATGAGGGAGAAAGAAGAGTCAAAAATGAGTCATCAAAACTCAGTTGCAGAGGGGAGATAGGTTTTTAACTAATTAAAAAGAAAAATTCCCTGTTGATTAGAACTGACTCCAAATGGAACAGATTGTCTTGGGAAGGAGAGAAGGTGTTTTAAATATATGTAATTTTTTTAATAAATTTTATTTGTTTATTAAAAAATTTTTCCACAGTTACACATAAAAACAATTTTAACATTCATTTTTAAAACTTTGAGTTCCAAATTCTCTCCCTTCCTCTCTCCCCACCCCACCTCCATTGAGAACACAAGCAGTTTGATATAGGTTATACATGTGTATATCCATATCCATATTAGTCATGTTGTATCATTAGCTTTCTCCAAGGAGAGGTCTGATGACTGTTGAACTAGGTAAATTTTTACGAAGTGAACAGCTTTTCTTTCTCCCTCAAATTACACTGTCACCTACCTAGGCTTCCTGCCCCTTGAGCTGGCCTTGATTTTGTGTTTATAAAGAATCATGGCTCCTTTTTCTTCAGTGACATTACTCTTTTGGTCTGTTTCTCAGCAAAGGATTATTACTTTTGTCTCATAGTTAAAAACCTGGATTGCCCAGAAATTTAAAGGAAAATAGTGATGCAGAAAGAAAGAGAGAAGAGGAAAGGATGGGTGGAGCTCTACTTGACCTAGTAAACAGTTTGGATGCTGTCTTCCAGTAATGATTGGACAGTTCTGGGGTGGAGCTCACTGACCAGTGTGACCACAATACCCAGCAACAGGGCCCTGTTTCTGCAGAGCAGCCCATTAGGAGGGATCTCCAGGATGGTCCTATTGAAACTGATCCGGTTGGCATTTAGATGATCTTCCCTACTTTTTCCTCCCACCCTTGTCCCTAGCTAGATAAGAGTTAGCCCTGTGTTTACACATCATGAGAACAGTTGCTGACTTCATCAGGCGTCATTACCCCAGATATACATTAACGCAGTGATTTAAAATTAAACTATGCTCACAGGCCCCCCGAGCAAAAGTTTATAAAAGAATGCCTTCGTTTTTTGTTGGATACAAAAAGTATCTTGAGCCCTTTCTCAGCATTTGCTTGGTTTACTACCATGATTGAGGTATAAAACCTTAGTCCATTTACAACTGCCCTCCAAACTAATCTGTCTTAAAGGGCTTTTGGTCAGACCTGCTCACATAAAGAAGCAGACACTTTCAGGCTTTTATTGGGCCAGCAACCATCTAACTCTCTAGGTCCAGCACTTTCACTTACACTGATTACTTTCCACAGCCCTGCCTCACTTAAATCCAATTCACTTGCAAGTCATGATATCACCTTCCCGATGTCACCGTCCTTTTCAAGAAAGAAGGACGAACCACAATCTTGGCTAAGGAACTTCCCTGGCCCCTGAGTCCACTTTTGGACTGGGGGCTTTAGTTTCAGTGACCTTGCTTTAGACTCCTTGGTTCTTAACCTTGCCATAATATTGGGACTCTGAATTTTGTTCTATTAATTTGGAATAGGGGATGGGGATAGGGATAGCATAACACCTGTGATTTCACTGGTATAGGGAACTCCCTGATGAGAAAGCCCATTTTACCAATATGGATCAACACCATTTCTACAACTTACTGAATTGGAGAATTGCTGAGAACACTGACAGATTTGCCCAAGGTCATATAGCCAGTATATGTCAGGGCCTTAAACACAGAAATTCCTGGCTACAAGTCCTAATGTCTATCATATGTCATACTTATGAGGTGTTCAGAGAAGACCAGAACCTCTGGTACGAGGGCTTTCTGAGCTCTTTTCAGGGCTACTCATGCACTTTTGGTGTCTACCTGGCACTCAGCTCTCACCTGTAGGTCCAAGAAGCTGTAGCATGGGCAGTGGTCACACTCAGGTTTCAAACCCATTGGTCAGTTAAAGGGTGTCTACCCCAATCATGTGAAGACTTTACCCAGCTGAATGGGCAGATGAGAACAATTTGTTCCAACCACCACGAAAGCAACTGAAGCAAGTGGAGTGCTTGGAGCTTGGTCAGACATCAAAGATGCCAAGGTCATCCATTGCATCCCCGGCCATCCGGTCATCCTGACTTTTGTCTTGCCACTGGACTTTGATGACTCTGGAAGACAGAGTAAGGCTGATGACTTTGTGCAATTCTACCTCACTTAAAGTCAATTCACATGATGTCATTGATCCTCTTTGAAGATGAAGGACAAAAACAACAACAATACCATACCAGATACTTAAAGTTAACATTTTTGGTCCTGTCCATGTCTGCTCCTCTAGACTTGGTAGTCTTGACCATACTCTCAGGCCTTAAAACTCTGGTTTCTAGTTTCACTCTGAACTCCAGAAGAGATAATGAGGAAGTGTGCAATGTTTCTATGGCCATTTCAAGTTCATTGGTCTACAGCTTATCAGTGGCCATAGATCTCCACCACAGTGAGACAGTATAGTTTAGGGGATAGAGGAGTGGCCTTGAAGTCAGGAAGAACTGGCTGTGAATCCCTTCTCAGATACTTACTAGCTGTATGAACCTGGGCAAGTCACTTATCCTCTCTCAGCCTCAGTATTCTCATGTGTAAAATAGGAACAATGATAGCAAGCACCTCACATAGTCAAATAAGATATATATATATATTTACATATATACACACATATACAATATATACATATATTTATGTGTATGTATATAAATACATATGCATATATAAAGTGCTTTACAAAGCTTAAAGTGCTACATATATGTTAGTTATTACCATTTCAGACCTCACCCCAATGCTTTTGAGAAGTCACCATAGAATGTTCTTCTTTGAGATGCTTTGGCAGAGTTGTTGTGTCTAAATTCTAAAAAAAAGTCCCTTAACTAGAGCTTCCCATTGGCAGTAGGGTTAAGCCTAAACATCAGAGCACCAGATTTTCACCTCCTCTCGGCAGTAAGCAAACAGTAAGATCCAATCCAACATTCCTCAGGAGGGTTTTCTGGTAGGATCATAGACCAGGGACCCTAGAAACCATCTAACCCACTGCCCCCCCCTCATTTTTTACAGATGAGGAAACAGAGAGAGTAAGTGATTTAACGAAGGTCACATGGGCAGTAAAGAATTAAAGGCAGGCTTTGGACCCACACTGTATAATTCTAGTACCAATACTCCACAGTCCCAATCTGTCTTCCCAGGATTGCTAGCTCCATCTGACTGATAGGGCTGGGCTTAAAAAGGCAAAGAGTCACAGCACACACAAGTTTCATGCCATGAATCAACACTTTAGAATTTCAAGTGTTCCAAGATTGTATCTCTTTCTCCATACACCCTGATCTAAAGCCCTCCAGGCTTTAGGAGGCACTTTATCATTAGGTCCCTGCTGCAAGAAGAAAAAAGATCATTGGTAGCCAGGTGGCTCAGTGGATAGAGCGCAGGCATTAGGAAGACCTGAATTCAAATTCGGCCTTAGACATTTACTAGCTGTGTGACCCTGGACAAGTCATCCCAACCTCTGTCTGCCTCATCTGTAAAATAGGGATAATAATAGTACGTACCTCCCAGGGCTGTTGCAAGGCTCAGATGAGATAATAATTGTTAAGGGCTTACTACAGTGCCTGACACATAACTCTGTATAAATGTTATCTATTATTATCATCAGGTAGCCAAGCTTTTGGAGTTTAACTAGGTTGGTTCTCAGATAACAGGCAGATAGTCACTGAGCTCATAGACAAAATTAGATTGAACCTGACAGAACCTGAACTCTTTCTTAATTAGAAATTCTTTTCATCTGAGATACAGAGTGAGGAAGGGGATGGGGAGGATTGGCAGCTGGCAGTGATGCAGAGGATAGTAGGGATGGGGACAGTGCAGGAGACAGTCCAACCATGGAGAGTTATCC